TAACTTACATAGCACCTTAAATTACAAATTAAAATGTGTTGCATGAAACACATTGATTGATTTGTCCATACAAACTGGAGAAAGTATATAATCTGGGTTCTCCACTTTCAATGAACACATTTTTGTACTTTCTCCTGCATGTATGAACACATATTTTGTGTCCATTCTCCAACATGCATAAGCAAATGATTTGTACTTTCTCCATTGTGCATGAACCAAAACGTTGTTCATTCTCTTCCGTCTTTTCAATATTTTGTTAATTAATCAATGTGTCAGAACGAATAAAATGTACCCAAACCAGTGGGTATGAACGAATTTAATGTACTACAATATCTATAATGTGTATGAAGAGACATTACGCTCTTTCTCCAGTATGGACATGTATATGAACCAACACGCCTGTGTATATACTTTCTCCAGTATGTATGAACAAATATCATGTATTCCATTGTTTATGAACACACATTTTGTATGAACAAATACTATGTTCTTTCTCCAGTGTGTATGAACGTACAGAGTATTGGTTAAGTAACTAGTGAAAGTACATAATATTTGCTCATACACACTGGAGAAAGTACATACACACACAGTTAAAATTTATTGTTTCATATATACACTGGAAAAATATAAATAGTAGTCCATACACACATACACAGAAAGTAAATAAAACAATAAAATATTGGTTTAGGCACATGGAAAATTAACCTAGTTTCGATTCATACATACTGGAGAAAGTATACACAGAGGAGTGTGACTCAGAAAATGTGACTCAAAAATAGTCTAAAGTTGGACTTTTAGAAAGGTCACCAGACAGAATCTATTGCATTTTTGAGAAAGTGTGCCAAATATATTATTTGAAATTATAGAAGCTTTTGAAAATTTGAATTCATTCCTAAAAATAGAAAAAATGAGAAAACTACTTTAGAAAGAAATCCATTCTCTTTTTATGATCACAATTTTTGTTTCAGACAACTTTTCAAAATTTCAAAGCTCCTATGACATGTATGATTTAGAGTAATATATTGGGCACATTTTCTGATAAGTCTTTCACATGATGTTTAGGGTCATTCATTCATACAAACTAGAGAGAGTTTGAGAATATTGATTAATCCAATCTGAGGAATGGTTCCTCAAAAAGAGAGGTTTACTTAGATTTTGAATATCAAATAGATTTGGATCAAGTGTTATAAAGAATCTGGTCTTCTTAACTTACTTAACTTCGAGCATGCAGATAAATATTCAATGGATTTACATAAAATGCAGAGTTCCTGTGACAATGGCATTTATTTTTAATGATCAAGAAAGTACTTTGCACCCTCCCGCCAAGTTAGGAAGAAGCCAGAGCTTTCATTCTGGTACACATCGCATCTAGAAACATGTCTGTGTCTATCATGTAAGAAGAGAGGGTCAAGGTATTCCATGATGGAGCATTTTGGAAACCCTTCTAAGAAATTGCTATGCTGAAAATGGGCTATTGGTATACACTGTGTACAAGTAATGCAGATTGCTCCGATTTTCACTACGGCGCCATGCCGATTGAGTATTTTGTTCAAAATTGAATACAATGGAGAGGTTAAGCTAACGATGTTTTTCACAACGTAACCATGAACGCAAAGTACAAAAATTAACAAAGGAATGTATCGAGCGCTCAAAGTTTTATGCGCGCTTAGTCTACTTCAGATACTCTTTCAGCTTCAGAGTTTCGGGTTTAGAACGGGAGATTTGAATATTTGACGTCGGGTCAACGGGAACCATTTTACTCGTGTCTATTGAACACTATGCTGTCAATTTTGATTTCGATGCACAGTTGAATTCTTGCTGAACACGATGATATATGTCATGCATGATATAGCTATCACACCAGGCACGTTGCCATTGCGTTCTTCAAAACTGGTTTTAAACTGTGTGCGAACGAAATAAACGTAGCTACAACGTTCTACGGTCTGTTTACGAACTTCATGGACTTTCCCGGACGGGGAATGTGATTTCATTTACGGAAGAATTCTGTAGAGTCTGTAAATCTGAAATTGTACAGTAGTTCTTATTAATGATGGTCACATTTGATATTGGTTGCCCTTTTTCAACAAAGCGGGCATTAAGAATTGATGCGTGAAGTCAACCAAATATTATATGAAATGACTCGGGGAGTTATTGATAATCCAATATGTATGGCCAAGAAATGTTTGGTCAGCGTGGCACATTGATGGAACACGTCGTTCACTAAAATGGACATGTTGATTTGATTGGTAGCCATCAAAAGCGCAGAGGCGTGCATAATAACCAAGTGACTACTATGGAACATAATTTGCGTAAATTCTAAGTCATCTCGGAATATTTGAGATTAAATATGAATTATTATACTTTAAAATCAGTAACTTTGTTTGGCCGCACGTGTATATGTACAAGACGGGGCCCACATTAAGAATTAATAATTAGGTTGTCAATAACTTCATCCTGTGCTCAAACATATACTTACCATTACCTTAACATACCTTAACATTAAGTTATCATTCCTTTGAAATAAAAAAAGTCTTATTAAATTGCATATGAATGAATGGTTTTGAATAGTGTACATGCATGTTTACATGTATACCTATGCAATTTGGGGACCTTCCACTCCAGAAACCAGTTTCCAGACATGTTCTAGAAATAGTCTCGCGTCCTTTGTTGTCGATGTACCCTGATTTACATCCTAATGTCACGACACTTCCGACTTGTCGAGTGTCATTTTTGAGATAACCATTGTCTGGAACTTCTAGTAAAGCACACTCAGTGACGGGTACGGGTTCTGGAAGTAAATGAAATGACAAATTTTTTAAATTAAATGTTCTACTTATCACATTCTGATAGCAAATGTCAAACAACAATATCAGCTAAATGTTCAACAAAGACTAGATGCGACCTGAGCTAACAGTTCCTACATTATGATAATCAGCATACCAGTTAAAGAAGTAAAAGTATCATATTGTCTGGGAAGCACTTCGATAATCCCTTTTCAATTCTAATAAATACTACGAACGGAACCGCCCTACTTCAATCCTACTAGGGACGTTTTTACAACGAGTTGAACTGTCTGAGGACGTATTGAGAACGAGGTAGAACTAATTGCAAACGGGTTAAACTGATTAAGAACGTATTTATCAACGAGTTAGATAATCTCTTTTCAATTCTAATAAATTTCGACATATCTGCATTGTAAAGTTTCAATAACTTTCCACATTCTATCAGATATTTTGACATCCTTTTGAGATTATGATATTATGAATTGTGTGTGCAACTTAGCATGCATTTTGAGAATATACAACTGTAGTATTCAACCAAATCACACATATCTAAATAGCATACTCTACGTAAGTAAATATAATTAAATTCGTACCATATTGACATATATAGCCGTATGTCAGGTTGCATTTATCATCCTCCCCTTTCAATGGCTCATAGTACCCAAGCTTTGCGACAGGGACACCATAAGAGGTATAACGAAGGAATGCGTAAGTACACCAAGTAGCATCCAGTTCCTCTGCAAAGTCTTGGTGAACTGAAAATATTTTTAGTCCAAAGTATTAAACAAGGTTTTCAAATATTTGTCTTAATTTGATTGCCAAAGGCCTCATAAGAGATGTAAAATTACCGGATAAAAATGTGTTATTGTTAATGTAAGATTGGAGTTTATAAATACATTACACATGTATGTGGTGAAAGTCTGATGTCTACCTTTTACCCAATAATTTTGTTTTGATCTTATCTGGAGATTCAAATGATTTCGGATGATATTCAACACTTGGCTATTCGCGACAACGGCAATACTCCATCCTTTTTTGACTTCACATGCAGTCTGGGCTTGATCGTGGGTTGTACTCTGTTGCTCGAAAAACTCATAACACATATGACCATGTACCTCCATCTTGTTACTCGTTGACGGACACAGGCTTCTCTTAATGTCTAGTAAAGAGAATAGAAGGGATAGATACGAGGTACTAGCAAAGAAAATAGTCTCAATATTTTATAATAATCATGATCATTTTCTAAAAGGTCTGACAATTTCAACTTTATTTACGAATAATCCTTTGTTCTTTAAATTAAAGACTGCGTGAATAGATTGAAAATATTATCTAATAATCAAAATATAATTTGTTTTGACTTATTATCAATTTGTCAGCAAAAAGTCAGATTATCAAATACTGATGTCTATAGACAAAAGAGGTCTTCTCAAAAAGACATATACAAGATGGCCATTGAATTTTCAAAATGGCCGACATTATTCGCAAAACGTAATCTTTGATAACCAAAATGCAGGTTAACAGATTTGGTTCATATTATGCTGGTGTCTAGGGGCAAATGAGGTCTGCTCAAGGAGATATTTTAAAATGGTAGCTGAATCTAATAAATAGCCATCACTTTCATAAAATATCATACCTTTGATAACTCAAATTGCAGTGGACGAATTTTGTTCAAATTTAGTTCCCTGATACCTAGGGAGAAAGGAGCTCTGTTCAAGAAGAAATGATCAAATTGACTGCCATTTATTATAACATGTCTTGTTCAATGGATTTGTTTCTCATTCGGTTTTCACAATAGAGGACCCGAACATTATGTTTTAATTTTCACACTGATAAACATTAATTGATCAGTTGTGTTTTGGTACCGAACATATCCTAATAAAAAGATGAAACTATCGTTTATACATATTTCTTGAAATCTCTCATTTCTCCCTCCCAAGTGTTTGGGAGTACCTTTAAGAAATATTAATAATATATTTCCGAATGCCTTTAGTACACAGCCTGTTTTGATGAAACTAGAAATACCGACTCTAAGAAAACATCTTAACGTGTATATTTTATTGTTGAATTGCAGTTATTAGCTAAATGCTTTCGTATTAATGAGCGAGCTGGTACATCAATGCTATTCACTACTCACTACACATTGGAGCCACTCCATTCCATTTATACTCAACATCGGGTTCGCCAAACAAATGCCACGTTGGGCTACGGTCGCAGGTTCTGGTGTCTTGGCCAACTAACTCAAATTTTTTGTCACATGTGTACATAGCTAGACCATTCTGATCCCATGAGTTAAGAGGCTCGCCTTCAATTTTGGGAGGTGTTCTTGTCACAACGGTGCCATTCAGGGGAGCTGGTGGGTCTCTGCATTTTGCTATAACGTGAAAGTATGATGGGAACAGAAAACGCATTTGGAAAACTAAAAGTGTACGATATGTATATCATAGGTTTACAACCAATTTCAAACATAACAAAAAAATGAACTCTTGATTATGCCAGATTGTTACGTTTTTAGATAAAACTATTCAATATCTTTTATCTTTCATAAGTAACTTATTCTAAGATATTAGATATATACTATGGTAACAACTATCATCTGTAGTGTGGGCAAAACCCTGATAAAGATAGAGGCTAAATAAACCTTTTGCGTGGGGAAATTGAAAAATGCTATGTACCTTCAACGCAATAATAATCAACTTCATGACACCAGATTTCTTCACAGCAACTTCCTTTATTCTCGCCAATGTAGCTATGCAATGGCATCCGGCAAACTTCTGTATACTCACAGTTTGCAGCAGCCCTCTCAGTAAAATTGTGTGTACAATCTGGAGTGTTTTGAACGTCACATGATTTACTAGTCCTCTCGGGATGTAAAATCGCGTTTGTGACTATAATCATAAACCCTTCTGGACATCTCAAATAGAATGTCGGCTTGTCTCCCCAATAGTCCTTAGCACAGGAACTCTCGTTTGCTGCAATAGAAATTGCCAATTATAAAAATCATTAAAAAGCATTTCAGCTATTGATTAAAATGGAATTTCACGATTTTCCACAAGTATCTATACTGCTGTATGGATCGAGAAAAGTTCAACCAGATGGAGATAAGGCACTAGCTGAAAAATTGGTATTTGATAGGTGATGTGCATGTTAACAAAAAAAAGAATAAAATAAACAGCGAAAATGCGAACAAACATATATTGCTTTTGCAATTCCTTACCCCCTTTGCGTGTTTCAAACATTGGCATTGTAGTAGTAGGAACTGGTGTAGTAGTGGTTTCGGCAGGCCTGGATGGTGTTGTTGGTAGTATGGGGATAACTAAAATTATAGACGGCATAAGGAAACACAATCCATTAGGATGTGACACTACATGTACAAGAGATTTGGTAAGCAGAACAAATAAGAAGAGTCAAGCACATTTTTTTTATTTAAAGAGGTCTCAAACCGTATACTTGAAAGACCCTCACTTGTTATATCTGCAAAATATCAGCCGTTTCATTATATCTACATATACTTAAGTGTGTATGAATGATGTACTTCGACAAAAGGGGGTGACACCATCCCATTCTCCATTGTCGAGACACTGTCTTGTGTAAGTCCTTGATGATCTGAATGGGAAGGGAGTATATCCGGGGAAGCACCTGAACGTTACGGTGCTCCCAACTGCTCGACTTGTACCTGTTCTATAAGCGTTTCTTGGTGTGACGAGAGCATCACAAGATGTCGCTTTCAGTGCTTCTAAAATTACAAAATAACAACATAAATGAAAAAGAAAAATGATACATAGCAGTGAATTTTGAAACGTATTGACACACAAATTTCTGAGTCTTAGAAACAATAAAATGTTTTGGCATACTAAGTTTGGCATAGTAAGTAAACGTTTGGGGGAATATACGGCAGCATCTTTATTTGTATATATATATGTGTTTGTAACATAAAAAGGAACGCACGAATCTATGCAAACATCTGCTCTCTTAAATAACTGAATATTTCTTTCTTTTAATCGAAAGTAACTCCAAGTATGTCTTTTGAAGACAACATGTCTTCCAGAATTATTATGTTCAAAGCAACACCTCTTTTACATGATGATTCATACGTATTCAATACATTTTGGGAATAGAGGTTATTGTTATTGTGCTTTCACTTTGATAAGATCTATTTATAAATAAGGTAATGTAACTTTTTGTTTCCTCTTTTAATTCGTTTGCCCAGTTAGTAAATCTAACGTTATAGCATATAACACGTTTACTTACCGTATTCACAAATATATCCGTATTTATTTGAACATCGACCATCGTTTTTCTTTGGGTCATAATATCCAATGGCTCCACGTGGTGGAGCGAAATACGCATACGTACACCAAGCTGTGTCGAATGAATCAGAAAACTTCGGATCAACTAAAAAAATAAAGCAAGAGCATTTGAGAACGCAATTTCAAAGTAAGAGCATTGGACATCCAAAACGAAATATAAAATATGAGGTAACATTTTTAATTGTCATAGTTTTGAGAATATAGACAATTAGTGATGGCATCTAGTAAATAAATATTTAAAGACCCAGAGTATTATGATGATGGCTTTGCGAATGGATGTTGACCCTTTGAATTGCCTATGGACTTCGAGACTGGATTTTATCTATCCCACATCATATGAGATTGAATACTCTATCTTTTATGAGTACTAATATCTACAACTATTTTTGATTGTTATGAGTATTAGCTATCAAATTTTCAATTTTTTCTTCAACATGTATTGTAATGACTTCAATATGAATGAAATGTCCCTTGGTGTTCTGGTCCTGGATTGTGGTATTGGTTCTCGATTGGAGGGGGGAGGGGGATGTTAGACATTGTTTCTTTTCACGTTAGATCATGGTTTTGGGATATATAGGGTCTACTTTTCTTATGACAGATTTACACTTACAGTTTGATTTTCTTGTTGGGTTTCCTTAAAGGTTTTAGTCACCCTTCCCTTTTGGCATTTGTGCTTATATATTCCAAAATATTTGTTAAGTTGTTCTCAAATTTTTTCTTGAGGAATCGATGATATCGTTTTTAAACAAGCATAACTATACTGCAATGTCACAAATCACTCTCCACACCAATGAGCTCGATTTCAATGAACAATTAACTCATAAGGTATTTGACTGAAATTTGTGATAACTGACTTTATATTTACCCATCTGTCTTCTTTGGAAAAAAGACTTAATACATTTATCGCTCAAGTATTTTATATCGATGTATAACCGTAAGTACTCAACCTTTGATGAAACTTGAGAAAGTTCAAACGGGCCACATTTGAGCTAACACTAGATTATCAAGATAGGTTATGGTCTATTATATCCTTAATGGCAATTTCTTATAATTTACAAAGAAAGGGGAAGTATCGTATGGCTCATTTACTCTCGTCTTGATGTAGACGGGAATATACGGGGTGACATGTCATCTCAACCACGAGTCAACTTAATCCAGTCAAACTCAACCCCAAGTCAAGTCAACTCCAAGTCAAGTTAATCCCAGTAAATGAGTATCATGATGCAAAACCAATTTTTTGCATCCTCTACCACAGGTTCTACTGTAGTTATAAAACAATGAAGTGTTCAAGTTGTTAGTTTGTTTATGAAAGAGTTCAATGAATGCTGTGTTAGAAAAACATTCTTCATTATTTATTCATTGAAGTGTGTCAAAATCTACGCAAAATCATTTTTTTAAATCTACGGCAAAAACTACCGCATTTTTTCAAAATCGTCCGCAAATACTACCGCATTTTTATAAATCTACCGTAAAACTATAGTTTTTCGAAAAATTTACCGCTAAAACTACCATACTTTTTTCAAAATCTACCGTAAAACTAGTTTTTTTCTAAAACTACTGGAAAACTACCTCATTTTTCAAAATCTTCCGCATAACTACAGTTTCTCATAAATCTACCGCGAAACTACCGCATTTTTCATAATCTACCGGAAAACTACCGCATTTTCAAAAATTTCCGTAAAAGTACAATTTTTTCAAAAATCGACAGCAAAAGCTACCGAATTTTGAAAAAATCTACCGCAAAAATACCACAATTCAAAAATACAACCGCAAATTTTTCGTCTTAGGTTGGCAGGTATGTTTGAATAAAATGTGTACATATATAAAAACAGGTAAGATCTAGGATATTTCATAAAGGTGTAAATATCATTTGATTTAACGCATCTTTTGAAATCGAATTTTAGATAATTTAGAAATAATTAACAATGTTATATAACTTTTTATTTATATGTACATGCATTGTTGAAATCATTAATATATACTAGATAATTCAATGAAAGCAATTCGCATGTTCCAATATTCCAAAAGATCACGAGTGTCAACCTCAGAGGGATTACAACAATATAAATGTATAAGCAAGGTTAATATAGAACTACCCATATTTTAATCCTTTTTGTACGGTGTAGACATTTTGGAGATATACTCATTATTAACTATAAAGGGCAGGTCTAAGAATAAAAATCTCAAACTGACTCAGCATTAGAAAAACTTTTATCAATAATTTATCAATAAATAAAAATATAGGGGTTGAGTTTTACAGGGTTGGCTTGACTTGGGGTTGAGTTTTACTTGGGTTGACTTGACTTGGGTTTGAGTACGTTTTACTGGGTTGAGTTGACTTGTGGTTGAGATGACCAGGAAGCATATACGTCATGTATTCATTCAAAAGTAATTAAAAAGCACCTAAGTGAAAAAAAGCTTTTAGCATAATTTCTGTAATTTGCAAAATAACTTATATAAAACACAATTAATTGTGTTACATTTTCCTAGTTTCTATGTCCTTTTTTCTAATATATGCAGAGTGGCTGTTTTAGTGAGATTTATTTTTATTATCTGTTGTGGATGTCCACTCAAGAATGCATCTCAATTTAATATTTTTTTATATTGAATAATTAGAACAATGTAGTTGAGAGGAAATGATCATGTATCTTACCGTTTACCCAGTACTTGTAATTTGATCTATACTCATAATCCATGTGATGCCGTATGAGACGAAGAGTGTCTGCATTAATTACCGTTGCAAGTTTCCATCTCCTACTCTCACAAGCCTCTTTAGCATTTTGGAACGTTTTCTGCTGATCGTCGTGAAATTCATAGCACATACGACCGAGTGTCTCCTTTTTAAATGCAGTCGCTGGACACAATGTTTCGTCAACGTCTGCAATATGATAAACACTTTTAACTAAACCATAGAGAATTGTAAGCACACCTGGGAAAATTAAGAAGTCCAAAACGCAATACAAAACATAGTTGCAAAAACATAAAAGGGTAACCAGTCACATGAAAGCAATTCTCAATATATTAAACTATTAAAAATATGTAATGTCTTACTACAAGCAGGGGTCCGTCTTTCCCATGTGTACTCAAAGCCACCGTCTACGAAGAGACTTGACATTTGTCTTTTTTGTCTCTGTTCACACTTTCTGACAGAATTGCCATACAAACTAAAGTTTATGTCACATGTATATGTTGCTGCTGCCTTCCAACTATCTGATAGGTCAGATAGTGGATCAGCATTAAATTCCGTCGTAACTTTTCCGTTAGTTGGTGGCTGTGGAACATCACACTTTCCTTTAATAAGAATTGTAAAACTGATATTGCAATGAGTTTTTAGGAGATGAATCATATGACAATGTCAATTTTTTTCTTGCTGCATTATATATCCAGAAACGTACTTAAAAATACTCAGTGGAATGGCTTATTACTCATTTCTACTCTTTCTTTCCGTATAAAGTCAATACTTAAAATTATCTACCTACCTGGTACGCAATGGTACGCTATGTTGTGACAAACCAGAGGGGCGCAACATGTTTTCTTATTCTGTTTTGCATAGCTATTCAACGAAAGTTGGCATTTCTGCTGGTGTTTGCAATTTCTAATAGCAAGTTCAGTGATGTTAAGTGTACAGTCTTGGTTTGTTCTAGTACACGCGTCCGTTGAGTTTGGATACAAAGTAGCTCGATCTATCTTCACCATTGACTTAAAGTCGCACTCGAGACTAAACACATTCTTGTCACCGTAGTCGGTTCTGCTGCACGATGTATCTGTGAGGTTTGCTGCTCGTCAAAATAAAAACTATATGTAAAAAGATGCATCTCGCGTACGTTTGTTATTATATGTGATACAGATAAACAGATAAAGATGAATATGGAGAAAGTCAAAGAGATGATGACTGGGAGGGAGGGAGAGGAAAGGGAAAATAGTGTCAGAGATAAAGATAAAACATGGTCATATGAGAAACACAGTTAAAAAATAGTAACATTTTACGAGAACACACAAGGAACATGAAACTGTTAACATCAACGTTAAACAAGAACACAAATGTGTACAAAATGTCCCCACCAATGGGTGATCCCGTCAAATGGTTATCCTGAAAATGAGTACACAAGACTTTACCGACACAATTTGAGGACGGGAAATCAAAAATGACCACCTTAAAATTTACCCAGAATGCCATAAAATTAGTCAGTTCTAGATTCTCATACGAAGAACCGCCCCTGAAAAATTGAAATTGATTCGTCAAACAGTTAACCAGAAAACGTGTAAACAAGACTTTACAGACACGATTTTAGGATGGAAAATCCAAAATGGCTGCCTTGACATTTACCCAGAATGTCATAAACTAATCAGTTCTAGATTTTCATACCAAAAATCATCCCTGAAAAGTTGAAATTGATCTACCAAACGGTTCACCTAAAAACGCGTATACAAGACTTTACTGACAAGATTTTAGGACCGAAAATCCAAAATGGCTGCCCTGACATTTACCCAGAATGCCAAAAAACTAATCAGATCTAGATTTTTATACTAAGAATCATCCCTAAAATTTTGAAATTGATCTACCAAACAGTTAACCTAAAAACGCGTAGACAAGAATTTACAGGCATGATTTTAAAACGGAAAATCCAAAATGGCTGCCTTGACATTTATCCAGAATTCCAAAAAAACTAATCAGATCTAGATTTTCATACTAAGAATCATCCCTGAAATTTTGAAATTGATCTACCAAAAGGTTCACCTAGAAATGCATAGACAAAACGTTACAGACAAGATTTTAGGACGGAAAATCCAAAATGGCTGCCTTGACATTTACCCAGAATGCCAAAAAACTAATCAGATCTAGATTTTCATACTAAGAAACATTCCTGAAAATTTGAAATTGATCTACCACATGGTTCAGCTGAAAACGTGCAGACAAGACTTAACAAACAAGATTTTAGGACGGAAAAATCCAAAATGGCCGACAATAAAAAAGTGATTATGAGATTTTTCTGATTTCTTTATACAAGATGTTGACATATAACTACTGTTAACAATAGCATAGGCTTTTACAACAAAGTACACCTGAAATTATTTGTAAAGCTACTAAATAGTTTAAGTACGAAAACTAAAAAACACTAGTCAATATGATACAAAGTATTATCGCGCGCTAACTTTTCTTAGGACATTAAAAATGGCTGCCATGACTGAGCTAACAGGTCCAAAACCTAATCAGATGTAGAATTAAGTGAGCTGAGCAAGATCTTAAAGTTTTAAAAGCAAGTATGAAGCCGTTTTTCTTAAAGTTTGCAGACAAGGATTTTAGCATTTGACTTCAAAATGGCCGACAGGAAATTTTCCTCCACATCTATATGCACTCATAAAATATCCCTGAAAATTTCAAGGTGATATCTGTAGCGGTTTTGGAGAAAACTGCCAGACGTACGGACGGACGGACAGACAGACGGACGGACGGACGGATGCGCCTAGGCAGACAATATGGCCCCACACTTTGTGGTGGGGACATAATAAAACGTCCTTACCTTCACAGTAGGGTGTAATGCCACTCCACATACCATTCTTCATGCATACTCGGGTGTAGTCATCTCGCCGTGGTGTTGCAATCCAACCTGGATTACAACCCAATGTAGCGACACTGTCTACGGCTCTACTCTTCATATGCGCAAAGCCATTTGGAACTTTAATGTCTGGACATGTATTCCGGGTTGTCGGTCCTGAAAAGGCCAAATTGATTCATTATTTTTTTATTTAAACACAACTGACCTAGGATGTATTAGGCGTTACACGTGAAGGCAGAGCATTAAAAGAGAGAGTTAATTCTGCCATTAGAACGTTTCACTATATTAGCATGTGTATCATATCTTTTATAAAGTACGAAAACTTAGTATAGTGAAGTCCATACTTGCTACATAATAGGTAGTTTAAGTGACACGATTTCAAGAGAACCTGTACGCGACTGTTTTTCGACCCCTCGGGATTATTGCCCCGCGTCCGCTCTCAATTCAATTTTCCAGGGGCCTAAGTACAATTACCAGAGTTTTCTATTTATACCTTCATACTAAATCGACCAAGTAAACAGTTTAAATGGGAGAACTAATCCACGGACGACCATAATAATTTTACAAGTTTTTTTTAAATTCTAATCCTCCCTTATATTGGCATATTGTGTAAACATTTGTCACAAATATTGTATGGGAAACAATCAAACTAAAGTTTATACTTACTATACTGGCAGATGTGTCCATATTTGTTGTTACAGTCGTTGCCTTTTTCTGAACTGAAGTATCGAATTCGAGTGTATGGACTGCTGTAAGTGGGGACGTAAACATGGGCGTAGGCACATAATGAATCGTTAACACCCTTTTTATAATTTTTATCAACTAGAACAAAAAATTAAAAATCAATTATAATACTTCACACGTAGCATCTTCAAAATGGGGTACATCTACTTTGGAAGCACAATTCTGTATCAATTGAGATTTTCAAAAGTACGAAGAAATACAAATTATTTGACTATTTTTCATGGTTGTCTACAGTTTGAAGTATATTAAGAATTGTTTCAAAATTCGAAAACTTATATCGAAAGCTCTCTAATACCAGGAGAAACTCTTGTCCGATGACAGTCACTTTAAAAGAACAACTCACTTATATCTATGTACAAGATTTGACACAAAACCAAATAATTCGGTTTATGTATTTGTTCCACTTACCTTTTAACCAATATCGCTGAGAGCTACGATACCGAGCATTCATATGACTGTTGATTATATCCAATATCGCTTCATTTGAAACGACAGCAAACTCCCAACCATCCAAAGCCTTGCATGCTGATTCTGCCTGAGTGTAACTATGGGTCTGGGCTTCGAAAAACTGGTAACACGTATTTCCATAGACCTCCAATTTATTTGTTGTGGCCTTACACAACGAGGAATCAATAGCTAAATTAAAAAATACAACTTTTGTGATATCATTTGAGTATTACTCATTTAACTATTTCCATTACTTAACAATACTATGGAGGGGGCATCTTGGTAAAAATACTTTTTTGGCTCAAACATTAGACCCATCACCTGAAATGTTGTGAACGAGAAACGAAACATTTGATATGATTAACAGTCTGAGTTAATATGAAAGTACAAGACATCCTATTTTTAAATATTATGTTCTTTTGAAAAAAATATATAGATAGAAAGATATAAAAAACTCAAGCAATTGAGGGGAAACGGATTTATTTGTGTTTTTCTCATATTACTTTAAAATGTATTGCACGTGCACATAATTTTTAAAACATGCAGAGCTACACATCCAGCTTTTTCTTTCCTAAGGGCAATAGTAAAAAAACAAGCTGAATCCTTTTAATTTGGAAAATAGACTCTGAAAATAGAATTTCAAGTGATTTTAATTTGGAAAAATTCCCAAAATGCGCATCTCTTTAGGACATTCTACCCGTCTCCGTTGCCCGTTATTGTTATAAAAAGGAGTAACCTGTATTAGAGTTACAGGTAATTTCTTGTTGTAAAGGTTGATGTAGCCTAACATATGCGAAAATTGACTGCCCAATTAATTACTATTAATGAAGTGGGAAATTTACCAAATGCCAAAGACTAGAGGTGCGTACTTAATGTACACCATATATACAACACGTTTGTAATAAAACATTCAATACATGAAAATGTAACTTACTGCAAACGGGAATCTTGCCGTTCCAGTTATAATAATATTCATCATTATCAAAGTACACATATTTTCTGTATCGCGAACACTTTCGGGTCCTTGGTCCTGTGAGGGTGAAGTCCTTATCACACGTATATTTGGCTTGCTCTTCCCAGGAACGTACAAATGATTTGGAAGGTGGAGACGTGACCACTGTACCATTATTAGGTTTAGATGGTTCTGGACATCTCGCTAGAATGATGTAAACAATCCTATTGGCGTATCAGTTCATAAAGGCTAGTTTCATTTAGATCAGAAGCATGTTATTACAACCAAATATAAAAATGGTTAATTTTTCGTTTTCAATAACGTAAAGAGTTCTAGTAGTGATCTGATGGGTCCAGTGACTTATCTTTAATTACTCAGATGCGAGTAGGTAGTTACCAGTTTCGCCACCAGGTGGCCGATTCGGGGAAATAACATGGCAGGGTATTACAGAGTTCCCTTAAACTTGAACATTCATCAGTTTTAGTTGTTTACTTTTCATATATGTCACCCTTATGTTCCTTATAGTTTACAAATTAAAACATTATCTGCCCAAAATTAGAAAAATATATTTCACTTTTTGTGATTTTACAACATGGGGTCTATGGGGAATCTCCCCGACCTAGAAGTCACATTTTCAAATTTTGAAAGTTGATAAACTATTTTCAAAACCACATTTCTAGATGTAATTTTACATGTAGAATCAAAATATGACATTACTTTTACTGAATTTTGAATTTCTAATGACGAAAATCAAGATTACTTTTACTCGCATCAAGTCTATTCTTTTAAGCGTTAAGTTTTAACGCAGATGGAGACAATCACAGGATGTATGAACATGTGAACTCCAGGGTATTAACTACACTAATCCTACATATATATCCGCCTTAACATAGTGTTGTAATAGTGTCATATACCTTGCACGTATACAGATGCTACATACAATACAATACATACAATAAAATAGATTACGGCATGCACCTAGCACATGATGATATGACACATCAATGCAAAACAAATTAAGATAATTAGCTGGAATACATTGAAAAATTACAAAGCGTATCGGCAGCCATTATTCAATCTCGATACTTCGTTGCCTTGTATGTGTAACGACCCACCAATATATAATATTTTTGTGCCGTTACTTTTATTCCAATCAAATGCTAGATTTGTAATCATTTTGTAATTATCTCACTTTATTTAGACAAATCTTTAAATGTTATTAATTAATTGAACCTGTCTCAGACATCTATCTTGTATTTTGTATATTAATTGTCAAGCCCTGTATGTTTTAACAGTTCACACCTATTAGTAGAAGCCAGAGAATTTCTCAGTTTGTTTTCTCATGTAATACTTTTAAGCTAATAGGTTCATGCCAGTGAAATTTCAGTTTCATGCTCAGTTCGAACCAACTGTCTCTTCTGCTGGGATTTTGCAGGCACAACATGTAGTCCTAGATTCTTACGTTTTATCATCATTTCATGGATTAAATCATATTAATTGGATATAATTAGGATATTATTTGGATAAATCATTGTTTTGGTAAGCTAATCATCCTTCCTTTCATTCTAATTCACGTAATTCCATGCTAAATTTCATGTTTAAAGCAGAAACAACAGCTTATTTCAAATTCATAACCTGCAACATCCTAGCCTGAGCATTCGCATATCCTTTTTACAATAATCAATTTCATTGACATTAGTTGAATTTATTCTGAAAGTCATGGCTGACATTGGTGTATTGCTGTCTTTCTGCGCTACCCCCTCCCGCTCGGCCAAGCGTTGGGAACGTAGCTGCACTGGGAGCGATCATCCAACTTAGCAGCGCTGCCAGTTCTCCCCCAGGAGCGGTTGAGAGCGGCTAAGAAGTCGCAACATGACATTGCATTCATCTGGCAGCCTTAATTTGAGGGCAATTTGATTAGCGCCATCTGTAATTATCTTTGATTTGTATTTCAATTCATATTAATTCTTGGAATTTATTTAATTCTTATCAAGCAAAATAATGTACTTTGAGTTAATAAAAGTTATGATCTTATTTGTAATTAAAATAAAATTAATTCACTATTCTGTTCGCTTTTTCCCATTTGACGGCTTCAGAGAGGGAGCGCCATCTGGGGATTACCCATAACGCCCCCGGGAGTCAGGTTGTGCTATTTTATTCGCTACGCTACCAACATCTATCAGTAATTAAAGAGCGCACTGCCCCTGGGGTGCTACATATGGAACAATTTAAAGTGTAGTAATAATATTAATGGTTAATCTTTTGACCACGTATTTCGTGTGAAAGTTAGCATCGCAAGTATTATGGTAATATTCAAACTATATTTTGTTAGAAAATTGGTCTATCCAAGGCAACGGAAGATCGAGTTTAAATAATTCTCCTTGGAAATGCTATATTATGAAAGGACATACACGACACTAAATTTCCAGACAACAATAAAACGGTATTTACCTGGAACACAATGATATGTCACGCTATGACAGGTTAAATCACGGCAACACAACCCCTTGTTCTTCTTGGAAATGGGACCAGTTTCCACCCTACAGACCTTTTTTGAAGCGCATGTCGTGTTTGCAATACTTAGGATATCGAATGTACAATGTTTGTTTCTCGTCACACAGGGAACAGTGTCATTTGCATAAATGAATGCAGAATCCACCTGAACCATCATGTGCGTGGGGCACTTCATATAGATTGCGAGTGGGGCATTTCTTCTAGACAACTCACATGTTGAAGTATTGCGAGGTACCGACGGAGCTGCAAAAACACATAGTCGTCATTGAGTGTGTTACTATTAGTGCATCCTATTAGGGTCTTTACATAATTGAATAAACACAAGGACCACATATGTCTCAAACTCGCAACCTCGTGGTTATGGCACCCTATCGCCTAGCCTGAACATGCTTGCGCTCAGGCCCTCTCGGTCAACTCGACAACCCATAATGATATACATAACATAATCTGGATGGGACAAATTATTATCACATACTGGATTAATTTAATGATGTACTTGACTACTCCAGCCCATTAGTCTCTGAGGTTGTTTTGAAGTAGCTCAAAACAGTTTAACTCGTTTAATACTGGGGCAAAAAGCACAATAATACTGACGGATTTTTAAAAATTGCCATATATGGTACCCCTGAGATAATATATCGGGTGTCTCAAAAAATCGTCACACTTTTTGACTAGCAATATCTCAGCTTCCCTTGCACTGAAATAAATAAAATTTTGTAATTGTTGAGATCAGGATTTGTATTGACTGTGAAAAAATCAAAAAACACTCCATATTTTTGGTGAACTGCCCAGAACGAAATAACATGTTGAAAAATGCAATATCAGCGTTGCGTCATCTGAGAAGTGCATTGTGCACCCAGTAATAGCAGGCGAAATTCTGATGCAGGTCAGATACCAAGTGTTGTATGGTTGCCAAGTTGAAACTGTTGTCAGTATTGACCTTGCAGAAGTTAGCATCTGTCATTCAGTGTCAACCTATTTAAATTAGGTCATCTAGGAGTCAAGCTGATGAGATTCTTGTATTGACACTTGTGTCCAAGACAGATTCATTCCAAAGTGTCATTTGAAAAAGAGTAATCATGGTTTTCAGTGATTGAAATAAAGCTGCCATTGAGAATTGTTGTAGGAAAAGGCTGGGGTCGCAGGAGGATTGTTAGAGAATGTAATAACAAGGTTTGGAACATTCGCTCTGTGTACAGACTCATCGACAAAATACATAGAACAGAATCAGTTGCAACGAAAGCTGGTAGCGGGAGACCAAGAAACGCATGTACTGGAGAAGATCAGGCTCGTGTTGCCCTGAAATTGTATGTTTTGACTTGCATTTGTGTATTGAGTAATTCTCACAGGATTTATATCGGATCGCTTTGATATTTTCAGTGCCTGCATGCTGAAAACAGCATAAACTTGGTCCCTGAGAATTTACAAATCATTTGGCGCCCAAATAGCTGAGATATAATATTACAAGTCAAAAAGTGTGACGTTTTTGGGACACCCGACATATACTGTAGTATATACATGGGTGAAACCTTCTAGGGTTTTATTGTTTTATTGTTTATGGGTTCTGTATTATTAATTGTTGAAGTGCTATTACTTTTTTGTGGAATTGTCCTTCAGTTCAGCTGTTGGTGTTTACTAATTATAATGTTCAATGTTCATCCAAACCAAACTCCATCACATCAAGTGTAACATAACAAGTCAGTTATTCAGTTCAATCCAAGTATATTGTATAAGAATATTTCTTCCTTTTTAAATCACTAAGTACAAGTTTATTCAATAGTCTGCTTCAGTTACTTGGCTTCAATCTCTATTCATAGCACCAACTCTTTTTTACAGTCTCAATACTTTGCACAGAACCTGGAACCTGGAACCTGGGCCGAGAGATCTTCAGACTTCAGACCTCTCGACCCAGTCTCAGACTCCCACAGAACTCAACTTGGACTCTCTTTTGCAACCAGAACTCCCACAAAAACCCTATCATCTGTATTTATATCATATTCTAGGCTGTGCTAAATATAACCTCTGCCTTAAGTTTTAGCCAATGAAGGCATTAGGGTTTGAAACTAAGTTAAAGATGCAGACTTACATCAAAGTTACATACAAGATTATATAGCATGCTACATGCAATAACACAAGTAATATATCATAATTCAACCCCCTCAAAGGGTAACACTGCTCCCTCTGTTCGTACAAATTGTTTTTTAGACTCCTTCCTCCCAATAATAAGTGTATTATTAATTTTTGAATTTTGAAATAATAATTTGCATAATTTTTTTTAAATTGTTCTAGTCTATTTTAAATTTGACTGTACACAATACAAGATAACATGATTCTATCAGTTGAATCCTTGAACCAACGGAGACCAAGACAGTTATGGTATAATAATTTTACATAACTTTTCCTATGTGGCTGACATAACAACCAAATAAAAATACATTGCATGGTCAGCTCAGCTGTTGAGTCGGTTGACATCCTTTGTCTCATGATGCTGACATCATCTAATGTATTGTCTTATTAATCATATATTACTATATACTGCATGCAAAGTTGAATATACATGTATATATGTTGAGTATGAATTGATACATTATATATATATTCTTTAAAGCATTATTATTGTCTCCCATATAAATGAAGAACTCAGAAAGGCACTAAATAGTTTTTAATTGTATAATCATTACAATAGTTATTTAATAGAATAAAAACAACTAGGAACAATGTTCCTTTACATTACAAGGCAATTGATTATTTCCAGTATTTGTTCTGGTTGATTTAAGATAAGAGCTACGTGCGAAATTATGAAAACAAATCATATCAAATTGGTACTGGAAAGAACCACACTGAAAGAATATGGTAAATAAGAATTTAGCCCGCATTTAGGTCATATTTAGACGAAGAAAGTTCATTGTCTTGGCCTTGGATCTATCAATGTTCTAGCCACAAAACACTGTATGAGTGATAATATAGTGTATATATCACCAATTGATGATCACCCAGTTATGGACACTAGAGACGTCAGTTTGTGGCTCTGTTTGTAGTGTATCGTCCTGCCGCGAGGCGTGGACGACGCCAGGATCACATGAAAAATAGAAATGTGTTAAGGCATTAAGTTAAGCGAGTCAATATCCCCCTCTTCTACGTAACAGTCTAGAACAAACGCTCAATTTATTTCTCAAAGAATACTTTATTTTTATTTATTCAGAAATTTTTGGTCAATCTGTGGAACGTTGATAGATTAATCTTACATCGTTTATTAATAATTACTGACGTTAATATTAGGAGTTTTTAAAAGTAATCATCTGTCCGGATCAAGCTGACATTATAACCCTTAACTTTGTTTTTGACTGTTTACTCACTTACCGTCTTCTTTCATGGAAAGAGTAGACAAAAAGAACACCACATCCGGTTTGGGGTGTTCTTTTCAAAGAAGATTTGGAACCAACACGTCCCCAAGAGAAAATATGAAAAAAAACTTCGTCTGGGACCATATATTTAAACTCTCTCCACAAAAGGAATCAGTCTAATCTAGTAAGGGTTCTCATGCACAGTCTCTTTCCGGGAACAGATAAGACACAATGAATTAAAACACACACACTTTAATGCTCCCTAACTATTTAGTTAACTTAACCTTTTATCCTGTATCAGTATGTGGACAATAGTAAACATTGTAATTCAAGCTGCACTTCAAACAAGCAGTATTTTACTGGTGGCCATATAAACTTATCGACCCTAGTTCATTTTGGTGATTTAAGCTGATCAACATCAAGCCAAATATTGTTTTTATTGTTCATTATTTATGTTGTTTTTAAACAAAACTAAAAGAAACTTAATATATAAGATTTTACCTAAAGATCTTTTTTCAACAGGCTCTCTACATACAGGAGTTTAGTCTAACTAATTAGTTGAGAAATACTCTATAAACAGTCAATAGATGTCTTGTATAGAGTATTCTCACTCTTTTCTTTTGTAGGGGAAGTACAATTAGAAATAAATTGTAAAGTTCAATTTTAATTGTCAATAGTTAAGATTGTATAAAACGGACCTTCAGGGTTATTAATGACTTCCGCAAATCAATTTGCATTCATCAATTTCTTAATTCTTCTCTTGGTCAAAGTTCCCAAGTTTCGTATTGAGACGATAAATCCCCCCTTTTCAAATTGTTTATTCAACTTGGGTGTTTTTTAAATCTTAATGTTCAAGTGTCAGATGCCAGGCACAGAGTTGCCAGAAATATCAGTTTTCATGATAACGGAAGTGGTACTTAAAAAGACCAGACCGTTAGCAGCACCTTGGAATTACTTTCTTATCTGGGATTTCTCTCCAAAAAGTTGTATATTTAGGTGTGTCCGTCTCAAGTGGCCATACAAAACACAATCTCTGAAGTGTTTACATGCAAAAAGTGGTACTCCGGTATCTTAGTTCCATTAATCGCGTCTTGAAATGGCTCTCCCATCACGAATTATCTTCATAGAACTTGTATGTTTTAAACTTTTCTGTCTTAAGTAGACATAAAACACAAATTCTGGATTGTATTTCCGACTTTTATCTCTCCTTGTGGGTCCATTAAATCAGCGACGGGAACGAACAGAAACCTCTCTTAAATCATATATTCTCACGAGGGATGGAGGCCACCCATTCCAATTTTAACGAAATCTCAGAATATAAAACGAACTTGTTTCAAAATTCCACCCTATCTCATTCTTTACTGAAGTAACATTTTTCATGAGTGCAATGAATCTGGCATGATACAATAGCCATTCCAATCTAGTACTTATGTTCAAAGTAAGGTACAATTGCACATCTTAGAAATTTGGGACTTTGTCTTAATAAAAATGTTGCTTGCAAAATGTTCATATTATGTTTAATCATTCTATTTGTATTCCTTTACATGGCTACACTATTAATATTAGAACGGTGAGGATTCCTTGATTCGCTTTGTTTGCTAAATGCAGAGACAAAATAGAACAAAATCACGTTTCGCTTTCCAGTCTGGCTTCTAAGAATTCATTGGAAAATACTATCACAATGTTCCCGAATGTTAATAGATACTTAGGTTAGCCTGACATTGGTTGACTACTTAAGGTATTAAAAGTTAAAGAGTACAATTTAGTTCTTGTGCTTGAAACTCAACAAAGCACTCCAGATTAATGCAATTACCAAACTTATATCTATGATAGCAGTTTTAAAGTACCTTTTTAAGTGCTAGGATAATATTAACAAGTTAAGTAGAATCACTAGTGAGA